TTATTATAAGGTCCTGATGGTGCCAATCTATTTATATATCATCTTCCACAAGAATACAGTGACGCAGACTTAGCTCAAGCTTTTGCACCTTATGGACCAATTATATCAGCTAAAGTATTTGTTGATAAAACAACAAATCGTAGTAAATGTTTTGGTAAATAGAAATATCTTTTGTTCTTTTCTTATTTTAAAAATGCATTGACTTATTCTTTAGGTTTTGTAAGTTATGATAATCCATCATCCGCTCAAGCAGCAATTAATCAAATGAATGGTTTTCAAATTGGTATGAAGCGGTTGAAAGTTCAATTAAAAAAACTTCGAAATAATATTAATAATATCAATACTGATAACATCATTAATTCAAATCCAAATCAGACTCAAGTAGCAGCCAATAATAGTCCAAATAATCATAATGGAAATTCATCAACAACGTCTAAAACAACTTCATATTAAAATAAGCCAAATATATTTAAGAAAAAAAAAGAAAATTAGATAGCACATTTTTCGAATACTCATGATCTATTTCTTTTGCTTAAAATTCTACTATTGAGACGACCTATTTATAATACATAGATAATCTTTTCCCACCCGAGTTCTTTTGTCACTTTATTATTTCTTTTTCTTTTTGTGTGTTTTGTCTTGTATTTTGCATTGTTCATTTATTTGTTTTTGTTAAATTATTCCTTGTCATCACATTGATTCAGAAAAGGTATATTGTCGTTCGTTTTTTGCTGTATAAGTTTCTTTTGTTTACACTTCTTCTTCTGCATGTTTGTATACGTGTGTTGTGGGTTTTCTATTTCCTATTTTTTGCAATGTTACCTTATAGATTTCTCTTGTTCGTCTTCTTATTGCTGTTATCAGTACTAAGCACCTACCTAACTATTACTTTTTTCATATTCATTTCTCTCTCCCAAGTTCTTTTTTCAAACAAATCTATACGTTTAACTGTCTTTATTCTTCGTTTTTTTGCTCTTTTTTTTTCAGTGTTCGTTTTTAACTGTGTGCGTGTGTATCTGTCTATTGTTTGTTCATCATTGTTGTTGTTGTTGTTGTTGTTTTGCATTGAATCAACACAACTATTATTACAAACAAAACAAACAAAATAGAATTCTTTTTGCATCGATATATACATTTAGCTTATATCTCTGTTTCGTTCATCATTATTGAGTAGATGATGTATTTATAATACAAACAAACTAATTAAACTTTATTGTTTATTAGTTTTATGGGAAATAGAAAGATCAAGATAGTATTGTCAATAAATTTTTGTATTATGTGATTATATTGTTATTTTGAATTATATGAATAAGAATGGAACGTTGTTTAATTGATTATTATTCTAATTACTATACTTTAGAATAGATTTTTAAAGGGAGCGTCGTTGAGATTAATGAGAGAAAGTTTAAAAGTGTAACTTGCCAATTGAATTGATGTTTTGCCTATAAGTGAGCCACAATGAGGCTAGTTGAAATCTATAACGGTTCGTCTCCATGTACTGTGGTCCACCAGTTATTAAAATTTTACTGAACTTTTTATTGCTAGTAAGGTTTTGGTAAAAAAAAGAAGTATGGAATTTCAAACTGAATAATGCCCATATGTAAGTATTTGAAGCATCAGAATGCTCTGAAAATTTTAGCTTATCTATGAGAGCTATCTATGGGCAAAGTTTCAAATCAAAAGTTCATGTTTCGATTTTTCATGTATATCTTGGTAGCAATAACAAATTCAGTAAAATTGTAATAGCTTGGCACATACAGTGCATTGGAACGAACCCTTCGAGGTCTCTAGTAGTCGCATCGAAACTTACTTATAAGCAAAATATTAGTTCAATTGGCGAGTCGTATTTGGGGGATTTTCATTATGAGAAGAAAGTTGTTCTGGTTACTTCAGTGAATAACTTCTTGTATTAAGAGCGATATCGGATTATCCATATTCGAAATATGTCGGTATACATAATGACATTGATTTCATGATTGAATCGCACTACACTACAAGAAACTCTCCAATATGAACCATGAAATAACATACCTTTGTAGAGCTTTGCCAAGAAAACTTCTACTCATCCAGATTCGGTTTTTCGTCATCTTTTTGTAAGAATTAAATCTGATTTAAGTAACGTAATAATGATTTTTTGCGGCTTACAATGTTATTTTTACAGCTTGTCGAGCTCATGAATACATTTCAGTTATGATATGAACTTGAAATTTATATGATTCAAACAACTTTTCAACAGGACAGGCAATAAAAGAATGTATTTATGACTCGACTGCTGTTACTAGAAAAGACTTTTATTTATACAAATTGTTCACTAATCGAGTCAAAAGCTTTCAAGTATCATATGCATAATTACGTTCAGATTGATGTCCTTCCGATGAAAAATCTGAGTGTGGGTGTGAGTATATGCGAGTCTTCTCTTCAATCACACCAATACCAACACCCGCAATGATTAGAATTATATTAACAATGCAGTATCTATAGGGACCTCAAACATCTCATACAAGAACCTAGATGAAAAAAGCAAATGAAGTAGAAGAGTAATCCCTTTTACACGATGCACTAATTTCAACTCTGATCAACCCATATTCGTAGAATTGCTTAGCATTGAAAAAAGTTAGAACGGTGCTGGTGTGACTCTGAGTTTTGTGTCAATCTACACGATTCAGACGATATCCATATTCATATCCATATCCATATTCTCACTTGATTCATCAATTAGGTTTAGCAACACGATCAACAGTAGTTATAATTAATTGAAATAAGAAAATTACTTTTTTAATTAGATCGAACTCACAAGCTCAAAATTAACCATGATACTTAATTGTAAGAAAGAAGTTTTTTCTTTTATTTCAATAGATTTGACAAGGCTGGACGATGTTTTCCAAAAGTGAGAAATGTTCCACTGCAAGCAGAAATTCTTTATCCAACCAAAAAAGTCAAAGAAAAACGCTTTTAAAGAAACAACATTACTTATATCAGATCCTTTACACCAAAGAAAATCGAATATACATTAGGGGAAAATCATTCATTCATTTGTATCCTCATAAGCAGAGGAAAAAAGTGAAAAATACTTCATCGAATAGTGATTGGTACATACATGTTTATATTTTTTCGTTCTATTTCTTCTCACTGATATTCTTCTACATGGTAAATGAAGTGCAATAGATATCGTTATATTCTTTTCCTCAATTTCTCCTTAATATGTTTGAGTTTATGTGGAGTGAACCATTTCTTCTAAAACGGGAACAATATCCTTATTGATTTATCCAATAGTTCTCTACTGAAATTTGAACAACATTGTCAATAAGTAAGCTTAAATTTTATTAATAACTAATTTTTTTTATTTCGGTTGAATTTAACAAAATGGTTAAGTGTAAGTATTAATTCAAGTGAGTAAATAGTTTACTTGCTTTTCTTCGAGAAGTGTTGAGTAGAGGGAAAAGGAAGTAATAAGGTAGTGTAGACAAAAGAAAGAGAACAAAGTTCAAGAAAACCAATCGTACAAGGTATTCGAAGATTCGGTAAAAGCTACGATGAATATTACAGAATCACACAAAATTGTATTGTACGATTTTATCAAAAACGTTGACTTCCACATTGGCATGTAAAATTGTAGAAAATCTTATCCGATACTCATACGATCTTGTATATTCATGGAAGATGTTTTTAATGGATTGTTGGACCTTGATCATAATTTCAACAGAACTGGACAATAATAAACGCTTGAAAATGCTCATGAAAGTACAACTTATAAAAAAATCCCTTTTCTACTTTTTATTAAATGGTCGCAAAATCCTTTGAGAAAAGCCTTTCAAAAGGAAATATTAAGGGATTCATGAATTTCAAATACTCGTTCTAAAAAGTTTATGAAAAGATTCATAATCCTTTATACAATTTGCTATGCGGCAAACTTTCATAAACCCATCATAAGGGTTCATGAGCATAGTAAAACTCTCCAAATACTCTTCGAAACTCTTTCTAAAAGGGCAGATAAAACTAAAATACCTGAGTATCAAATTTCGAAAGGAGATTTAGAAGCGTTTATGACCATTATCAATGGTCTAAAAGGTTTGTGAAGAGGTAGATGAGGAAGATGATTGATGAAGTCAATCATCTCAAGCGTTTATGAAAAGATACACGGAGCGTTCTAACAACAGCATCAGTCACATTGAACAGTTGGTGAAGGACTGAATGGAGGAGTTTGCCGTCATTGCTAGTGATCCCAAACACTTATGAAAGATATATGCAAGAATTATTGATAATTTCTCACCGTTGCTTGAAGATATATGACTGGGGTATAGAGTGTAGGGTGTAGGGTGTAAGCAGATTTTAGCGTCAATAAAATGAGAAATATTATACATATCCAAAACTATAGACACACCTAAATCGAGACCAGCACTCAGAATTCAATTTATTTCAAAAAGCACAAGCGTATAAAAAATATGTTTATGGTCAACTGGCATTAATTAAATCAGGATCTATACTTGTTTCTTGATCACGTCGATCCATTGAAACATTGTTAATGACAGAATCTATTTTGGTTTGATTTCTAAATAAAGCATAAAATTGAAACAAAGTAGCTACTTTTGTCATCTTTATAAGAAAATCGAAGCCAAATGATATGAATCAAGCGTTACTCTTTTATCCTATTCTTTTCCAGAATGTACTAATTTTATTACTGTTGTGAATGTTTGATTATGAATAAAGAGAATATTTTAATAAAATATTTCATCAAATTTATTCAACAATATTTTCGGAAGTTTAATAGGTTAGTCAATATTTGTATAAGTTAACTTTCATCATTAGCAAATGATATCAACTATCTTTATTCCCATGTCGAAGCGAACGGGTAAGAAATATGTTCGCTGTGGAGAGAACTTATTTGAAACAATTCGAATGATCAAACATCATGCAGAAATATTCCATTAACTTCGACACAGAACATTCATTTAATTAACAATGATATAGATGTCTTTTTCATATAAATCAAATGATTGATCTTACTTTTCTGTCGTTTCTCTTTTTGTTTTCAAATTTTGAATCGCTTTTTCGACTGCAGATGGAGTCTCAAGAGGAGAGTCTTGATGAGACGGGTCACTATATCGTTGTCGATCGATACCTTCTTGTACTTGACTGGATACATCAGGAATTATCAATTGAACCAAATAAACAATTAGATAGATAACATTTTCAAAAATGATCATAAAAGCTAGACGAGCAGCAATAACATGCCAATAAAGTGATGTGTAATCATAATTCGGACCGGTTGATTCTCGAAAATCACGATAACTTAAACGAAAACAAAATCTTTATCGATATAAATCGAATAAAATTGGAATATAGCTCTCACCGACAATAAGTCAAATTTGATGGAATATGCTGATTCATGGTCCCTGTTTTATTGTAATCACTGATCGGAAACGAAGAAAGTGTCCAATTAACATAACCATCAAGACTTGTTCCTTTTCCTTCTATTATCTGGTAAGCCAATTTCGGTATAAATTCGGATGTCCATGCAATGACCGCTGCCTGAAAAATAATAATCATTTAAATGGTCAATTCGAATTGATACTGACATTAGTCAAAACAGCCAAATAAGAGATGCCGGAAAGAATATCAGTCCAAATACCAATGTTTGCTGCTTTGTGTAGGACAGGACGACGGTATCGTGTTAAAATTTTCCATGCATCAAACCGAAGTTCTAATATATTATTTAATAATGCAAACAATGGTGCTAATCTATTTAACGCAAAAAAAAGATTAGACAGAGAGCATATAATCTACTGACGGAAATGCAGCAACAAATAATGTGGCAAAACCAAATTGAATAGCTATGAATTAAAGAGAATGATATGCCAATAGTGACAAGATTTTATTTTGTTTCTTTTTACTCATTTCAAGATATTCCGGTAAAAGCATTTGCCAGTCAAATTCATCTAATTGATTGTCTATTTCCCATTGTTTCTTGTTTTCATCGGTGTTTTTGCATAGATTTCTACTACGTAGAAATGGTAAACCATATTCAATCACAGCGTTGACGATTTGTTTGCCAACCATAACTAGCAGAGAGAAAGTCATTTTATTTCTTATATACATACATGTTATACTTACTAATGAGTAGTTGAATAGACAGTTCAACCATGCAACCAGCAGGATCACACTAAATGCATTTACATGTATTATCAATCTTTAATTTCATCCATTCTCGAAAACAATAACTATAGATTGAAATCATAGATGAATAAGTTTCACTAAACATATGCGCACGTTCTCGCCAACATGAAACGATATTGAGTACTGTTTTCGTGATGATATAGAATACACGTCGTTATATAGATTCGTGTAGAAATCATAACACTAATAAGACCAATCAGATAGTAAATCCAATTCGTCCGTGAAAGACTACTAATATATCATTTTTGAGGTTGGATTAAGATCTTCCTCAAAATCGATTTTAGTTAAGGCTCATGAAAAATTGTATGTGATCTTCAGCATATGTTTGTATGGTAATGGAGAGCTTCAGTGAAAAATTCATCTTTAGAGCATAATGTTTACGAAAGAGATTCGTCAAACAAAGGTCCAGCATAGCCTATTTAACAATCCAAAATTCTCTGTGGTCCTTCATTCTATATATTGACTCTCTATATGTTTGTTCGAAAGAATATATCAGACTGCAAGATTTGCTAGTTGTTTTTTTTACAAGCTGTTGGTTTTTAGCGAAAAAATAAGGATTGTAGATCTCATACCTAAAGAAATTGTCTAAATGTGGAAAATATTTTCTCCATTTTTAAGAGGCATTGAGAGTTTTTTGAAGTATTAAATCTGTGATTCTTTTTCTTCGCTAAATAAAATAAAAACCTTTAAAAAAAACTCTGCCAGGTCCTGGTGTTTGACATTGTTTCTCAAACAAAAAGAAACAACAAACCAAAACAACAGAGGATCAATGCATAGAATGATGAATCAGACAAAATTTTGGGTTGTTAAATAGGCAATGGTGGACCTTTGTGTGACGACATAAAGAAATGTCATGCACTGATGAAACCACAGTACTTAAAAGATTAAGTAGCGGTTATTGTTTTTGAATTTTTGAAAACTATCGATTTTGTAAGCCTGATATATTGGAGACGGAGGTATGAAAAGAAATATTCTGTTTTCGCAATAAATGACTCATGAAGTTTAGAATTTTATATATTGTTTAGTTTCGGTAATCGATTTCAAACTAAGCACTCGAATGGAGAGATGCAAGAGATTGACGTAAACAATTTGATAAATAAACCTGCTCATTGAAATCATTCGTTCTTCGTGCACCGTACGTAGATGGATAACCATTTGTTCTTAAAAGAAAATTATTATTATTTGCGACGATTTGTTAATAATCTTACTCACCGTCCTTTGAAAAAGGCAACATAAAATAATGATGAATAAAAATTTACAAATTCAAATACATAAACTTTGACTGAAAATGCTGCTTCGTATTCTGATTGGTATTTGTGTAATTCTATATTTTTCATGTAGACATAAGACAAACAAAACGAGACCTGAATATTCACTCCTTACCATAATCGGTTATTTTTCGCGCAATAAAATAATACAATGGTGACAATATAAGAGAACAAATTAGATTCATAATGGCACTTGTTACAGTAATTACAATTGATGAATATGAACTGGCTGATGTGTTTATTAAAACATATGATATCTGAATACGATAGACAATAATAGAGAATATCGTCAGACAGACGATAATGACCTAGATAGTTGCATTTATATTAGTTATTGATCAAATAATTGTTCAATTTACCATGAATAAAATGACACCAATTGACAACAAAATTCTTGGAATTTTTTGTCCAATGCTGATGTATGATTCTTTTCTCTTTAAAATAAAGATTTGAATACAACAATTTCTATTATATAAATGCACTAACTCCAGTTCGTCTATTCAGTCGTGTTGATCGAACTTGTCTTTCAAAATCAGGTCGTATCGGTTCATTACATTCATGAAAATCGATTGAATCCTAATAAAAAAAAAATCATCTATAGAAAAACGTTTACCATTATGAAAGATATATACCCATTTATATTGCAATTCAGATTGACCTCTCTTCCACCATTCTACAAAACCTCTATTTTAAATAAAGACAGTGGCAAAAAGTCGTTCAAATATTGACTTGGTTTATTTACCTTGCCCAGATAGACATCAATATAGCAAATATGACAGTGGCAATATTATCAAATACATATGAAATCTTAAATTAAGATCTTAAAGCAATTTAGAAACCGATACTTCGACTTACTTGTGCATAGGCACAACTTTCAGTAAGCTTCCAAAATGAACATGTTTTGTCACAAAGAGGACACATGTCTATGCTTTGTCCAAACGATCCACAAATTTCGGATCTAAGCAAAAATTTTAAACAGTAATAATAATTAAACAGTTATATTAAATAAAACTATAGCAGAATACGAATAGAGTAATAAAAGTCTATTCTATTCTTGCGTGACATCTTCTCATATTTCCCAGTACTCTCTTTGACTATCATGTGTTCTTTCTTTACTTGAACTATAACAAATATATATAAAAGACTCCACTGAAACATTTTTGATAATCTTACAACAAGTTTTCTACTCACTCTTTTAGCAAAAAGCTAGAAATCCACGTAAACATAATACTAAGACAAATTCAGAAACCTGAGATGCTCTTCTATGAACAAGCCCAAGGAAACAAGATACTATCTATCGGTGTACTTCTTTTATTTGAATATCTGGTATCGCAGTTCAAGTAAGTCAAGAAGAAAATTTTTCTTATCTTCTGTTTATTGAATTCAAAACTTATATTCCAAAAATGCTATTTCTTCTTGCTTACGTTGCATATCTTTCGTTTTTCTTCTACAACAAGGAAAACGAGAGCCAATAAATACAACAGAATATTTCAAAAGATTCTGTACTCTATAATCTGTTGTACAAAAGGGAAAATTGGCCAAGAACATTATACTCATTATTACATTTTAAAATTGTTTTACAAAGTTAAAAACAATTTCCGCGTATATATGAAATCATGAACATCTAGATCGTTTTTTAACCACTTTCAAAGGCGTCATTTACTTATTTAAACTCTTCAGATCCAGGACAAATTACAGAAACTGCTGTATTTTGAGATATTAATAGCTCTATGAAATTTTAATATGCCAATAAATCTTCTGGAGACTACTAATCTGTGTTTTCTGAAAAACAAATGCTGCAAATTTCATGAGTTTTCTCTCTAGAAAAATTGACATATAAAGGATTCAATTTTAGGTGAGACAAAAGGAAACATAATTCTGATAGTTAGAATGAATTATTGGATGGGAAAAGTGTTGTCTCCATTGCTCTTGAAAAGTTTAAAGACCATTGCCGGTGTATATAAACACTTGACAATAGGATATTTGATTATTATTCAAATACATGATCTGTCTAATACAGAAAAATGTCTTCATAGAAATTGTTTAAGCTGAAAAGAGGAAAAACAGTCCTCAAAACCGAATCAGTACGAGCTGAGTTACAGTCACGCATAAAACAAAAGAAGAAAGCTTACGTTGGCATGTTCGAAGTGACACTAGCAGCACCATAAATAAAGACAATCAGACCAACAATTGCAGGTAGTATGAGTGCAATCGTGTAAGAACCCATTGCAGCAAAATAGAATGCAACTTTTTCACCCATATACGAACGAATCAAATCGAATGGTTGAGGTTTCAAACATTTGAATATAGTGGCCCATTCTGTCCTCAGTTTCTGTACTCACATATTGAAATAAAATATTAAACAGCGATTATTTTTCAAACTTACAAATCGATCATTGGGCTTGTCATCATCTATTTTCTTATTGAAAGAAGACAGAAATAGAAAACAACAATATATCGGTTTCAATCAAATCAGTCAGAGTTATACTTCGTGTAAAGGGAAACATGAATCAAATATGCCATCAGATATTAATTGACTAATCCCGAAATATTTATATATCTTGGGTAGGTTTTGCGGTGCTTGTGGTTGTCCTTGTGGTACCAATGAATCTATTTATCCTTTTTCTTATGAGATATCAATTAAAAATTTCATTTTTACTCGTACCAATTTCACCCTTGATCCGTAACAACAGCTCATAGGTGAGCCAATGTCGTTCGCTTATCGTAAAATAGTACTTATCAGCAATATCCCATAACTAAAGAAACAAAGAATAAAACTGTATTCCGGCAGAATACAAGAATCGGTAGTTTCTGATACATAAAAGTGTTATATTAAGAAAGATACTTAATCTGAAAGGATATTCAGTGGCAAGTAGACAACAGATATTTCACGAGACATACGTAGTACTATCAACCAACAGAAATAGCTGCATTACAAAAACCAATTCATTCATTTAACATGAAAAGTCAGTATAGTGAGTCTTCCATCTATGTTTGACTAGTACTATGTGATATTCTTAGTAAATAATGTTCAAATCTTTCGTTTTCTTCTGGAATCAAGCTATTTTTCACAAAATAGAACGATCCTATGTCCATTTCAATACCTATTTCTAATGATTTTTTTACACCAATCAAGTCAATCTCTTTCTTTCGACAAAGGCTCAGCATTATGCGTGTATCTACAAATCAGAAATCTATAAAAAGCTATAGAGGCAGCATATAGTCACTCTTCCAAAGAATTAACTTGCGCATCTGGTACAACTCAAGTCGTGGCTTTATCAATTGTGTGAACTGAAACACGTGTAAAAAAATTTTGACTTCAACAAGTTCTTCGAGATTCTATCCATATGACTCTTGAAAGATGTGTCCGTAAAAGAAAAAAATGCAAAATTCTCACGTTTTCACTATTCAAATAGTTTGAATCCGTTTTAGATTGATTTCGTTTGTCGAAAAATTTTATAAATTGCTCAATCGTTGATAATGAATAGACAGCCGTACGATAAGAAGGTTGGTCTATTGTAGACGAGCGCCCAAAATTAAATATGCGTTGTAACCAGCAAACAAAACGGTTCCCATTTTCAGATTTCTCTCGTTGAGACATATCCTAAAACGATGTTCAATGATCATTTGCAAGGCATATCATTCAATTACTGTTGTTCGAGTGGATGAATCCCCTTCTGTATTGTCATCTATACCATCTTTTGTATCGTCTTTTGTATCTTCTATTTTCTTAATAAAGAATAGGAAAAAAATTCATCAATTAAACAAGGAGATTTCGATCAGCATGTTTCGCTTTTTTCTTCTTACTTCAATCGGTAATTTCATTCGTATAGCTTCTGCCGAAAATAAAAGAACATGGAATGGAGCACGAATTATGATATAGCAGGTTTTCTTCGATATTTGCTTGCGACAAAAAAAGTTGGATATTGGATATTTATTGATTATTTCTTTCACTACATGTCTACGAACATCCAATTGATATTTGCTTTTGAGATCTTCTTCAACTTTTCTTCGTATTATTTGTTTCACCAATGGAGTCAGAAAATAGCCACCAGAAAACTGCTGAACTAAACGTTGAATTACAGACCACTGCTTACCATCTTGCTGTGGTTCTATAGGCGATTGCTGTGTGTAGACCAGAATGCAATCGAATGTTGATGTATCGTTTTCAATACCAGGTGAAGACGAGACATCGTCGAGATGGTCAGGTGTAAGATGTTCATTGTCGACAGGCGGTACTAGTGTTTTAACAATGAGCGTAAAGTTGAAATTCAGCGCTACAAACTCGACAGATAGTATTGGAGTGCGTTATTTTGTTGCTTACCGAAGTTCAGAAATATCAATGTCTTTCAACTAAGCGTCTTCTGATTGGAAGTTTATACCAATGAACAAAGTACTCAAGTGTGAATAATTGAAAGCAAAGATTTAAGAAAAATACAGATGTCTTCACGAGAAAAACTGAAACTGGCAACTTGCTGAACACTTTCCTAGCCGGTCTATATATTCTATGGAATGGTTATGTACGTGCGGTGAATCACCCCAATAATAATATGGTAGCAAAAAAGAAATATAATTGAATGCTTTTTTTTTAAAGATAGTTCTAGTACAATTGACGGTCTCATATTTCATGAGTAGAGAAGACTCTTCCGACAGTCGCTTTAGTAACGATTGAATCATTCGTAAATGAATAGAACGCTCTTATTTTTCAAATGCATAGATACTATATTTAAGATCTATCAAACACTGAAGAGTATATAAAACAAAAAATATTGTGTTTCAGATAGTGCTATTTTTTTAAAGGCACTAGATTTTCATGTGTTTTATAGTGTGAATCTCTCACCTGTCGATGA